AGGCTGCCCTTGCTTATAAAAGACAATATCATTATTACTTGAGGAGGAAAATTATTTTTTAAACAAGACACCAGAAAGACAAACCATAAAGATGAAAACTGCTTGTTGTGACTTGATAAAACAATAGATTTCTAGTCAACAAAGGAAACTGTAGAAAAATTGAGACAGCGGTGTTTTGAAAGAATGATGGCTGCAATGTGCCATATTCAGAAGCTCTTAGTGAAAACTGTTTAGAGCAGAGCACAGACCAGACACTCTTCTAACGGCACGGTCAACAAGCATTTATTACTCACAGAATAAACCGGACAGGGATGAGCAGAGCTCATCGAAGCACGCCCCACTTCACATCTTGGGAGGAGAACGTCTAAGTCCCTTTCTCTCAGGGTTAAATACTAACAAGACAGCCATATCAACATGCCAAATAGCATGTACAGAGAACAAGCAGTTGAAGGTGGTAATGAAAGGTAGAAGTAGAAGGGGTAATAAAAGTGGAAGGCACCCTATGTGGAAATGGACATTACTCGCTGCCCCTGTTGGGTAGGGGTGGGGAGTGAGGGTGGGGAAGGTAGGGTAGGGAGTCACCTTTTCCTGATGGCTATTCTAGATTTTCTTGATGTCAGGAGCATCCTTCCCCCTTTATTCCACTGGGATAGCTTAACAGAGTTCTGGGTTTCATCAAAGGGCAATCATCTCACCTTAAGGAGCATACTTTACTTTGTGTCCATTAGGAGTTATTATGTCCATTAGCAGCTAGGGAGACAGGAGACAGTTATAATTTACCTGCGCACCTAGCAATGACCACATGGAAGTCATCTCTAGCACTTGTTACTGTGTTGTCAGTTGTCATCAAGTCGATTAGGACTCATGAGGCCCTCAATTTGAACCATAGTTTCACCAATTTATCATGAGACTCTGGGAAATCTACTTAATTCTTTTCAACTTCAATTTTCTTATGGTAAAATGGGAATGATTTTAGTACTTCCTTCACTGAGTTTTTGTAAAAATTAAATGAGCTAATACATATAAAGAACTCAGAAAAATACCTTACAGGGAATGAGCACCCAAAAATTTTACTTATTTGTATTATATTTGCAACATATAAAATAACAAGCAATTATTAACATAATGAATATATAATGAACTCCTGCAAAGCAAAAAGAAAAGAAACTCAATAGAAAGATGGACAAAGAACATTGCATTGACAACTCTTATTAGAAAGCTTGGACATATGGTAGAGCACACATAGATTTCCCTTGTATAAACCAGATGAATTTTCTTACCTAAAACATAAAGCAAACAGTGAGAATACACATTGGAGCCACCACCAGCATCAGTTCACCAAACAGAGAGAACCGTGAGCTTTTGGACCCCAAAATTAAAGGAAATAGTTTAGTGTTATTACCAAAAGTGAAGAGTCATATATAAAAGAAATAACAAGCAATACTAGTTCTCTTTGTTCTTTGGTTTTCATAGAAACACAGAAATAAGTGAATAAAATATTAAAGATAATTGTCTTTCTTTACTAGTCAATGGGATGTGACTGGCCCCCATTCCTTAACTGTCAAGACCATTTTTCCTTCCACTTTATATGTGAGATATACCAGAGTACCTTCCAAGGGACCCCTAGAAGATGAGAAATTGAATCCATATCTCTGTCCTAGGAAAGAAAATGATACATGACTAAAGAAACATATTAGACAATTGACACTTGTGTTGTTCATGATTCTGAACTTAAGAAACTAATATAGTAAGGCAAAAGAATAGAAAGAATTTTTTTTTTATGGAACTCAAGATAGAAATTCCCCAAGTTTACTTCTTCACATTGCAGGTGTAGAAAAGTACCCTGTTTATTCTTACAACAATTCTCTTCATTACCTAGGGGACATTCTCTCTCAGGACTTTTATGCCTAGAGATCTGTGGCTAATAAAAAGGCAGGCAGAATTTCAGGAAGGGAAAAAGAGGTTTTTGAAGATGAAGCACTTATGCTGCAATTCCAACAAGACTTCTCACTTTAAATATTTTTCTATTTGTAATGACTTGACTGTACACCTGAAAAGTGAACAATTTTCTTACCTACGAATCTGAAAACTCTACCAGGTAAGAGAATGAAATAGGACAGAGGCTGCTAAGTTGTCCATATTTTCTGTCTGTTAGTGAGTGATCTGTGCTTGCTAGTATTAAAGATAAATGCCCAGCATTGAAAACAGATGTCCTATTTTATAAATGTATTGTGCTTGTGGATTATGAAGGCACCTTACTGCTCACATTTTTGTTGCCATTTTCATTCTCAGTTCAACAAGCCTGGTTCTCTAGACATCCTCCAAAGCAACTCAGTAATCTCTAAATGTTAAAATTACAGTCAAACAAATCATTCAGAACAGAGGAATCTAATTTCTTTTTTTTTTTTAAATTGGAAGAGTTTTATTTCCCCAAACACATTTTTATGCAATACTGCTTTGTGGGCCAGGGAATCAAAAATAGTATTTGGCATGTCATCTGTATTTTAAACAGGAATTGACAAATTTCTTAAATACAAAAAATAAACATGGCTATCAAAAAAAGTTACACCGAATCGTTTGAAGACAGCCCTTCATGAAGGTGTTGTAGAGATCAGATAATTTCTCAAAGTTGCTTCCACATATTAAACACCTAGAACCTCATGGGCTCTGGAAAATCCCTTATGCTTCACTTTTTCACTCTTACTCACCTCAGATCATTTTCACCTACTGTCTGTGGTCTCTCCAACCTTGAATGATTCCCCTTTTATAGGAAACTACCCAATCTGCATCTCTATTACTGTTCTTGCACTTCTCTCAGTGCTCCCGTTCTTATAATTTCCATCACAACCTTGCTTCTTCCCACCCAATAAGCAAAAGAGCATCCACTCCATCTGGAAATGAAAGGAACAAAAAGGAAGCTATTTCACAAAAGTATGTCTGCTTTTGTCAGTGTACCAAAAGGAGATAACTTAAGTGCTGGACTACTATTCAAAAGGTTGGTGGTTCAAACCCACCCAGAGGCACCATGGAATTAAGGCCTGGTGAGCTACTTCCAAACAGAGGCATAGTGAGGGTAACAAGCACTCAGGGGCAATCTCTAATTTGCACCCTTCCCAATTTCAAGATGAACAGATATTCACACCTGCAACGCAACAGAACACCTTTCCCCTTTTTGTCCAACCGCCTCAGTCAGGTGCCTTTCATATTTGTGGCACCTCAAATGTCACTTCCCACCTCATTTAGGGCCCTCTTGGACTTGCATCTGGGGGTAAGTGCCCCTCTTGGGGACTCCTCCCTTGCTACGCCTCTGCTTCCAAAAGGTCACAGCCTTGAAAATCCTATGGAGCAGATCAACTAATGGCAACTAACAACAACAATTTTTAAATAATGGAAGAAAACAAGATACAAAAGTTTGGCTGCATCTCAGTAAACTGTCAGAATTTAGTCAAACATTAAGCCTTCTTATAATTAACTTATTTACAATTTTATCAAGCGTTTTAACATTCACTGAAGAAATCTCTACTATTTCAATTCTGTGAGTGAAATGAAAATTTATGTGTTTCTTTAGTATAAAACAGAAATTTTATTTGATGGAAAGGGCAAAAAGATGAAACATGTTTTTCGAAAGAGAAGAGTTGGAAATTTGTAGGGACTCTGGAGAGAGCTGATATGCAACAGACACCATTTCAGGGTGATGGAAGGCAATGAGACTGCCAGCATCAGATTAATGGAACTAGAAGTGAACATGATGAATTTCACTTGAGGCAGAATATTCTTTAGTATCTAAACAGTGATGTCACTGCAGACAAGTTAAAAATAGAACTTAAGGAAATAGATCACAAGAAAAGGTAGGACTTCAGCGGGACTGAAGCCATACATACTTCAAGGAGCCGCCCCAATACGCTGATCTAAGGGAGGAACAGATGAGCTCATTGGAAGAAGAACTTTACTTACCCAGGGATTCAGGGATATGACAAAGAAAAAAGAGTCCCAGAGCAACTAGAAAATGGAAGCACTATACCATTTGTTGCCAAAGAAGTAATTTCAGAATTCTATTTTTAGAAAATATTAAGACTCATATTATAGGAATAAACTAAGCTTATCAGCACATATATCAATGATAAAATTTCAAATAAACCTCGGGCTAAGAATATCTAATTAATGCGGCCTCTTTTCCTGATGAAGCTAAAGCTTTATTACCCTCCTATGCTTGTGGCTCAGAAATGGATCAGTGAGAGGATACCTCTAACCCAGTTTACACTCTAAGATGAAGAAAAGCTACTACTACCATTTTAAGGGGCTTTGTTTCTTTCTTTCTTTCTTTAAAGACGTTGTGCTCTATACGAGCTTAGTGACTTCTTCCAGGTGGCTTCATAGTAGGTTTAGAGATAGCAGTGTGGTGGACTACTTCAAATTTGCACCTATTAGAGCTGATTAAGGAAGATGAAAGTTGTATCACAATGTAGATGTTCACAGGCAGAGAAAATGGGAGGCTGACAACATGCTCTAGCTCTCTGAGAGAAAATCAAAGATTAATGATAAATCGAATAAAGAAAAAATAACGTTGACTAAGTCAGACAAAGAACAGATATGTAGCCGCGATCTGTTACAGATTAATGACTGACATTCTATAAAACCTCTGAGGTTGGGATAATGTAAAACAGTTATGAAAACAAAAGCAGTTGCCCCGAGTAGATTTCGACTCATAGCGACTCCATGTATTATAGAGTAGAACCAGGCTCCATAGGATTTTCTTCATCCATAACCTTTACAGAAGCAGATCGCTAGGCCTTTCTTCTAGAGAATCATTGGGTGGGTTCAAACCACAAATCTTTCTGTTAACAGTGGAGCACAAATCATTTGCACCACCCAGGATCCTTCAAAATAATTATATTCTCCCTCAAGACATTTTGTCTTGGCGAGAAAATCCTGGGCTGGGAGGATGCTGACTCTCGTTAGAGATAGTGCTCCATATATTATTTTGTCTTCTCTTTTAAGTGATGCTGAATCAAACCTCAGTCACTGAATTTCTCCTCCTGCGAGTGACGGACATCCAAGAACTGCAGCCTTTTCTCTTTGTGGTTTTCCTCACCATCTACTTTGTCAATGTGGCTGGGAATGGAGCTATCCTGATGATTGTCATCTCTGATCCAAGACTCCATTCACCTATGTATTTCTTCCTGGGAAACCTCTCATGTCTAGATATTGGCTACTCCACAGTGACACTGCCAAAGATGCTGGAGAACTTCCTCTCTACACACAAAGCAATTTCTTTTGTGGGATGCCTAAGCCAGCTACATTTCTTTCACTTCCTGGACAGCACAGAGGCCATGTTATTGGCTGTGATGGCCTTGGACCGCTTTGTGGCTATCTGCAAACCACTTCATTACACTGTCATCATGAATCATCAGCTCTGTACCCAGATGGCTGGCACAGTCTGCGTCATTGGGTTTTTCCATGCCCTGCTGCACTCCATAATGACTTCTAACTTGAACTTCTGTGGCTCCAACCAAATCCATTACTTCTTCTGTGATATTAAACCATTGCTGGAGTTGGCCTGTGGGAACATTGAGCTCAACCAGTGGCTGCTCAATACCATCACAGGGACCATTGGTATGGGCCCTTTCTTTCTCACCCTTCTCTCCTATTTCTACATTATCATCTGTCTTGTCTTCAAGACCCATTCTTGCAGCGTGCTTCAGAGAGCACTGTCCACCTGTGCCTCTCACTTCATGGTACTTATTCTTCTCTATACTCCTGTTCTCTTCACCTATATGCGTCCTGCCTCAGGTAGCTCCGTGGACCAGGACAGGGTCATTGCTATCATGTACACTGTGGTCACTCCTGTACTAAATTCACTGATCTATGCTTTGAGGAACAAGGAAGTGAAAAGGGCTTTGATCAGGGCGATCAGAAAGAAGCTATGACTTGAAGGATCTAGGGAACTCTTCTGAAGCATAAATAAGCAGGCAATAAGAAAGTTGAGATATGAATTCATACTACTTCTCAAATTGTTTAGAATAGTTATGAAAGTGGGAACTAAATAAAGGAACTATAAACGATAAAGTTCAGTCTACTAGGTGTTGTTGTTAGATGCCGTCGAGTCTGTTCCCACTCATAGCAACTGATGTACAACAGAATAAAACACTGCCTGGTTCTGTGCCATCCTCACAATTGTTGTTATGCTTGAGCAGGTAAATAGGTAGTAAAAAAGAAACTTAAGTTGGACACTAGCCATGGAAACCTCATGCTATTGTATGAAATCAGGTATAGAAATATGCTTATATTACCCATGTATACAGTAAATAGATAATATTTAGGTTTGTTTATCTGTGTGATCCCTTTAGGTTAGCACATTTTAATGTGAGCAATAACTTTATTAGACTTTTATATTTTGAAGACATTTTTTCACGGCCATGGCTACTTAATTGTCAAAGCAAATGGTAATTCACATATGAATTAAGGAGAATTCTTAAGAGGTATGTCATGATTTCTTGTTCACCAAGTAGAGGCAAATTAGTAATTAAAACAAATGAACTGTAATTAGTAATCAACAGAAATAAAATAGCCAATTGTTCTTCTAAATAGGTCTGGAATCTCTATCTCCAGAGACCTTTCAAAAGTCTACTGGCTAAAAGGCAATACTGAACGTGGGTGAAGTGCACACAACTTGACCAAGGTAGGTGATGATACTGAAAAGTACACAAGAAAAAGGACATTTCTGGTAAATGCTATAGCATATACAATTTTGCAATAATAACTACAAAATATGTGTGTGGTTACATAAGTATATATGTATGCATATACGTGTAAAGTAAGGTATACATGTGTATATACATGTGCACATAGAGGTGTATCTGTAGGCATATATAAATATGTGTGTGTGTTTGTTGTGTGTGCCATATATATTTCCATTTATAATAAAGCGCATAGGGGGCACAATGACAGATACTTTCTAGACATGACAAAACACCTCGTGGGATTGGTTTACTGGCTTTGGAGGCCTAGGACTATAGTCTCATAGGACAACTGAGTCAAATGGCATAGCACAGTTCATAAAGTTTAGGTTCTACATCTACTTTCGTGGGTAGCATCTATGCTCTTAAAAGCTTGCAAGTAGCTATCTAAAATACAGCTATTGGTCTCTACTAGTGTGGAGCAAAAAAGAAAGAAGAGAACAAAGACTCAAAGAAGAAATTAATCTACAGGACTAATAGCCTACACGAACCACAGCCTCGTCTACCCTGAGAACAGAACTAGATGGTGCCCAGCTGCCACTACCGACCATTCTGATCAGGAACACAGTAAATGGCCCTGGAGAGAATAGGAGAAAAATGTAGAACAAAACTCAAACACTTAAAAAAGTTCGGACTTACTGACCAGTAGATTCTAGAGGAACACCTGAGACTATTGCCTTGAGAAACCCTTTAAATTCTGTACTACATCTGCTCCCGGAGGTCATCTTTCAGCTAGATAACAGATTGGCTCATAAAATAAGCAATAACGCCCGTGAGTATTGTGCACCTTTAAAAACTCGTCTGTATGAGACCAAATGGTCAACATTCACCCTAAAGCAAACATGAGAAGGTAAGGGGGAGGGCAGGGAAACTAGATTAATCGAAAGGGAACAACCACAACGGAAATAATAAGAATGTTGACACATTGGGAAAAATGTAACCAATCTCACTGAACGACTTGTGTAGACATTGTTGAAAGGGTACCCAATTTACTGTGTAAAAACACAATAAAATATCATAAAAAATAGAAAGGGAAGCAGGGCCATCACAGAAAAAATCAACTGACTGAATTATCAAGCACAACATGATCAATGTAATTGATATCACTAAATTGTACAACAGAAAAAGCACAATTAGCAAATGTGTTATATATTTTTTTACAATACAAAAAAAATTACTGTTAAATACAGTTAAAATTGGAGTCAGGTTGAAAAAAATCTCAAGAGTCCTTACCTATCTCATGCATGTGTTACTCTTCCTTCAGCATTTGGTGGATGAAAATGAATTCTTTCAATACTTGTTCTATTTTTTTGTCTCGTTTTTCTATATCTATGCTCACCCTTTTTTTGACAGATTGTTATAATGTAAGGCAGGTGAAAGAGTAAGAATTCATCCAAATTTTGTTCTGTTTTCCTTTCTTGGCACAAAACTCCCACTAAGGAAAAACAATGAAGTCCTAGTTGCTGAGGTATTTCTTGAGTTAATAGACAAATTATGTTCCTCACTTTCTAAGTACCTAGACGTGCCTGCTGTCCCTGAAAGGATGGTGGGGTACCAGCATTTGTAACTATTTAGAGAGACAGACAGACAACTCTATGAAAAGATATTTGGAACCAGTAAACTGACTATTCAAAATCTTTGCATTCACTTTGCAAACCCAAACAAATTAGTTCTGACCTCTCTCCTGTGTTTTTTTCTATTTTCAACTTCACCTTCTTTGGTCCTTCTATCCTATTTTTTGTTGATGAGAGTAAAGTGTGTGTAAAGAAGTCACCTTCCACTCTAAACTGTCACAGAGTAGCAGTGATGTATCATGTCTGCGCCCATTTCTCTTGCTAAGAATTTGTTACATGACACAGTCTGCATGGAGTCTGTAAACTACGGAGGACCACATGGAGTTCTGATGATCTCTTGATGCATAACAAACTAGTACCCCAAAGCTTAGTGGCTTAAAACCTTGAGGGTCAGAAAATGGGAAAAGCAAGGTCTGGAGGGGTTGACTTTACTTAATAATGTCTGGAGTCTCAGCCAGGATGACTTGAATAGCTGGGTATTGAATAGATGAGAGCTGACAAAGTCTCTCTTTCTCCTTCTCTCTGGCTTCTCCCTGTGGTTAGTGTGTTCTTCACTAGGGAAGCCTCAAAGGGCAGACTTTTTACATGGTGGCTCAGGGACCAACAGACCATGGCAAAACCTTCCAGTTATCTTAACACTAGGCCCAGAACTGGCATTAATATTACTTCTACTATACTTTACTGTCAAAGCAGTCACAGGCCAACCCAGCTTCAGGGGAAGAGTTAATATACCGCACTTGAGTCCCTGGGTTGTGCAAACACTTTAAACACTCAGCTGCTAACAGAAAGGTTAGAGGTTCGAGTCCACCCCGAGGCTACTTGGAAGAAAGGCCTGGCAATTCACGTCTAAAAAGTCAGTCATGAAAACCCTATGGAGTAAAATTCTACTTTGACACACATGGGTCGTCATGAGTCAGCTCACAGGCAGAATATAGGACTCAGGATCGTACCAGCCAGATACCAGTCTAGGAAATGAACTCTCAAGGACTATCCAAAACCAAAAGAAATACAACAGGGAATCAGAGCAGTTAATCAGTAAATGACAACAACATCAAAACA